GGCAGGTAGTAGTTAAGTGAGATGCCCAGGGTTATACAGCTAGTAAGTGTCTGAGGCCAGATCTAAACTTGTCTTTACTCTAGGTCCAGTGCTCTATTCAATGTACCACATAGCTGCTAATTTCTTATTCCCATCCAACTCTGGGCACAATTCACCATCAATAGCAGTCCATGCTCAAGCATATTGATGGACTCAGTGGGCTGCCTGCCCAGTTGCATATCATAATTAGAAAACATACATTTTTCATCTACTTAGTTTTCCAGCAAGTATGCTTAAATTTGGTCTTTTTTAAATAATTATAGATTTCACTGAGGAGACTTTGTGGTGTTCCAGGGATTGAAACAATCAAGCAATGAACAGCATGTGTGGGACAGAGTTTAATATTTTCTAATATTCTTTCTAGATTATGGCAAATTAGGGCAATTTCTCTATCTTGTTTGGGTTAAACTATTCAGGTGGTGCCAGAAGGTGCTTTAGGAAAGCATCCTGCGAAGGGGAAAGAATCTTTGACACTAATGTAAAAAATATCTGAATTCCACATACACATAATCAGCCTACTTATCCTTCCCTTCTCTGTTACTGAGGTAAAGTAGGTAGTTACGTACCTTTCTTCTCCTTACATCAGTCTTTCGTGAAATCTCTTTCAAAGCTACCTAAGAAGTCCACGTTAATTTTGATTTCACCTACATGAATACCAAGGGAAGAAGCAAAGTGATTTTCATTGTCTGTCTAAATCTCTTATGATATTAGCCCTACTTCTTTCATTTCCTATACACCCAACTGTTTCTTTTGACTTTTGTAGGTCTAGAGTCCTTCATGACTTCCATAGACTCTTAGCTCTAGCATCTATTGAAGTTTAATGACCCTGCGTGACTTTGGATATCGGAAAAGGTTTTCACAGAGAGAACAAGGCAACAAACCCTTTTTAATCTTTGCTAATTCTTTTTTTTGTAAGTAGAAGCTATATATATGTTTGTGGTTTTTAATGATTTCTCTGCTCTCTATCGCTCTTGGTTAATCTCTCTCCACAAGAAAGTAAAATGAGCATTTCTTTCTTTTCATTTTACTGCTGGCAGTATATAGGCTTTAAGCCTTAAGGATTTGTCATCAGGAGACAAAGTTCTTTTCTGTCCCATGAAGCTTCAAGAAGTAACATTAATAACAGGATAAAAGGGAGACATGATCATTCATTCATATCTTTAAGATTCTACTGCAGCTTCCTCCGGGGGTGTAGTGTGGAGGAAGGGTACCAGCCTATCAGGGAAAATCAGAAACAGCCCACCTGGATGTGCTGTTTCAAAGTTTTTCAAAGAAAAGAAATATTGATAGTGCTGCTGATTTTATTATTATTTTGGGGTCACTATATGATGAGGGTGCAATTCAAGGATCTATTCCAAGGATTGACACAAGAAAGAAATGCTATAGAATTACCCTGTTGAGAGAATAAGATTAATCTTTTCCCTTTGGATAGTATTACTTCAATCTAGGGGTATTATGGCTATGTTGACATGATGTTTTGAAAGGGCAAAAAAGGCAATTGGCGGGGCAGCTAGGTGGCACAGTGGATAGAGCTTTGGTACTGGAGTCAGAAGTACCTGAGTTCAAATCTGGTCTCAGAGCAGACACTTAACACTTACTAGCTGTGTGACCCTGGGGAAGTCACTTAACCCTAATTGCCTTGCCGAAAAAAATACAATTAGTAATTTTGTGATCATACTACAGGCAAAACATTTTCACTAACTGAGGGCACGTCCTTTTTAATATAGTCCCTTTTGAGGGCCTTTCCCTCTTGTTTATTTTTTGTCTTATTTTGTTATTTTTTTTAGATCCCCATGATTTTATGCAAGTTAGAACTGACTGACTTAATTTAAAATCCAAACAATTGAAGTTTTAGAGATGCTCCAGAAAATGTGCATTAATTTATGAAAACCCTAGAGAGTAGGGCATTGAACCTGGAGTTAAGAAGACCTGAATTCAAATTCAGCTTCAGAAGCTTACTAGCTGTATGATTCTGTATGTCATTTAACCTCTCTCTGCCTCAGTTTCTTCATCTTTAAAATGAGGATAATCATAGCACCTACCTTCCCAGGGTTAATTCAGTTACACATTTGTGTTATATTCATATATCACATAAATTTATATTTTATTTGTATAATTCATATTTATTAAAATTGATATAGAGATAAATTCTAACTGTTGTTGTTTTCTATTAATACTGTATAGGTTTCGTCCATAGCATTCCAGTTAAGAGTCTCATATATACAGAATCTAAATGGTTTGAATCCAAAAGAGATAGTCCTATGTTTTCCCACCATCCCTAATCAGAACCAATTTACCTCCTTTGTGATAATCGGACTCTAAAAATTTATGAAATCTGGATCTCATTCTGAGTTCATTCTCTGGAAATTTAATTGTATGTTTCACACTCTGCATCAATAAAGCAAAGCTATGCTGTGCAATTAGTTAATGCACTTTGGGTAGTTTGAATTACTGATTGAGATCATTGAAGATTTATATCTCATATTTTCTCCAATTATCCAAATTAGCCAAGCTCCCCTTGCAATTTGGTTTGCAAGAGAATTCATCAAAAATTACTTTGGTTTGGAGTCTGATCATGTAGAAACAGATCTCCCAGATACCTCTAAGAATTGAATGAAAATGTGACTCTGTATCAGCTATAAATCATTGCACATGAAGTTAAAAGAAAAACTTTTTTGTCACAATGTCCCTTCTTTGGAACTCAGTTTACAGCACTCTCTTGCTCTCTGAAGTAAAAATACTATTCTCCACTAAGGTAATCAAGACACTTGGTGTAACTGATGTGTCAACTTAAATAACCCAGTCCCATGTTTTTATGGGCACGTGAACTATGGTTGTAATGAGGATCTTCAAGGATATCACCATAGCCTTCATTTTAAATTGCCACAAAACTGATAGGATTTTTGCTAATTTTCAATTCATATCATTAGAAAACTCAAAATAAAATTGTCATACATATATTCATATTAACTAATGAACAACCAATCCCCAAGTAAGAAATGCATGTCATGTTATAGTGCATAAACATTATGTATAAAATATACTTCTCACTTTACATAGCCTACTTGCCCTTGTTGCCCATGGCACCTAGAAAGTAGCTATAGAAACACTTTAAGGATGCTGATATGAAATATCAAGGTCGTGTTTTTAAAAATAAAAAAAAAATCAATGCCATGATTAATTAAATCCAATTCAGAAAAAATCACCCATCCATTTGATCAAAATAAATATGGGTGGGAGGAATCAGGAGAAAAGGATGTTGATTAAACTTTTTTTTCTCTCACTTCACCTTTTGTAAAAGGAATTCAAAAAAATAGATGTGTACACAGCTGCTTAGCTAATTTGCCATGTTTTCAAGGTTGTACTAACCTATAAGTTAAGAAGGGCAACATTTGATGCCTCTTCATATGATCTTGAAAATGGTTGTCCCTGATGATCTATTAAAATCCCTATTTAAGCTAAAAATCCCCAAATCAAAATAAAGGATAATTTTTTCAGGTTTTCCATATTTACTACTTCTAGGTAACCCCCTAACCATCTTTATTTATGAGTCTATTACTTCTTTTTTTTTGGAAATTTTCCTCAACACTTCATAGCGTATGCATTAAATTTTATTCCCTATAGTTTGAACTCTACTATAGAACACGTCCGGTGGCTTAAGGATACATGACATTCACTCAGAGTGAGAAATGTCTTACATCAAAGAATCCTGTCGATAATATCTTATGAAGACAGTTTTTCATTTCTGACAAGTTGGCTTTTATTCCTTGCCTTTTGCCAAGTGTTTTCCCTGTTCTTCATATAGGATGCTTAGCATGAGTCTGAAGTAAGACCAAACCATGTTTGCTTTTTGTGGTCATTAACAAAGATGTTTTCTTCTGCATCAGCTTCATGCAAGTCTACAGTTATTTAGATATAGGACTACATCTATTATAATAATTTCTCAGTAATATCCAGTTGTGAATATGAGGATTGCATTTACAGTGATATTATTCACAGGAATAGATGATTTATAAGGTAATACTCAGAACTCAAGTAGAAAAAAACCCATCAATTAGCATTGAAGCTTTCTCAGACTGCACAAGCGCTTAGCCAAAATCAGTTTGGGAATTTCATTGTTTTAAGTCTTTCCAGGTTGGTATGCCCAGAAGCATAACTTGGTCTAAGAGGAAAGAGTATCAATAGACTTACTATAATGTTGAGTTGACTGAGGTCAAATGATTTACCATGGATGAAGATAGGTGCAAGGTAATTTGTTCTTGAAATCATTTCTCTAAAAGTGGATGTTAACCAGGGCTGTTGTGAGGCTCAAATGGGATGATGAATGTAAAATACTCTGCAAACTTTAAGGCACTATATAAATTACAGTTATTATAATAATCATTATTAGCCTTATTAGAGTCTCCAGGCCTCCAGTCTAATGATAACTTGATTCCATGAAACTTCCACTACATCTCGATGGACTACATGTCTATAGAGAAATGGATGCTGCTAAATTTTTAACATGCAAAAATAAATACACATTTTTAAGTTCAGTTGGCACTATTAAGGCTTTCTTAAGTCTAGAGAATTGACAAAAACATAACTGAAGCCCTGATATGTAGCATTGTGATTTCTGAGTTGTAACTGAAAATTTAACAGTGGCCCCCCACAAGCCATTTAGAGCTAGCCATAGCGCACCTTTGATGTTAACTTAAGGTAACCTTGGCTCACTTGATGTGTGCTCACTTGATGAGAAAGAAGCCCAGTTACATCACTGATTCCTGGAATTTTCTGAACTTACACAATATTCTTGTTATTATGGGCTCTTCCTTTTATCTCCAGCATTCCTTGCTCTAGAAGAGTTATGCAGGGGATATTTGGCAACTTTCATGCAATGTCAAGGGACAATTGGATTGTGACATTCTTGATGCCAAGCAAAGTGGTACCCAACTTTCCTGTCTTCACCTTTCATTTGGCAGATAGTTGCTGCAATAATGGCAATCACGGGCATCGTGATGATGGCATATGCTGATAATTTTCATGCTGATTCAATCATAGGAGTGGCATTTGCTGTTGGATCTGCATCTACTTCTGCTTTGTATAAGGTATGTGATGGAGCTTCATTTGTTAAGGTAAAATAAATTAAAAAGTACAAAGAAATTCAGGTAGGAAAACATAGGGGTAGGGAAGGCAGAAAAAAATCAGAATTTGTATATATGTCAGGTGCTGTGCTAAGTTATTTTTACAAATATTGTCTCTTTTGATCTTGGGTGTATTATTTCATTGGTATAGGAATCTTCTGGAGAAGAAGACTCCCTCTGCTAACACTGGTTGGCACCTTCTCTGCAACTTAAAGTTTTAGAGAGTTTACTAGAGCGCTAAGAGGTCAAGTGATCTGGCCAGGCTCATACAAATAGTATGTTTGAAGTGGGACTACAGCCCAGAACTTCCTGGCTCTGGGCCCAGTTTTCTATCCACTATAACACGTATGGGTGAGATCACATTTCACTCTGCCATTTTTGTGTTTTTAGCAGGAAATATTAGTAAGGTAGCTTGTGGTATGATCTTCAAAGTCCCAATCTTGATGCTCTTTTAATTAAATTGCATAGGGCTATGTTGATGAAAGAAGTTGATTAGTGCCTCTGGTTCTAAACTTTTATATGAGTCCTATGACTTTATTCACATTATGGTGTGCCATGTCAAAAATGATAAAAACATGGAAACTAAGGGAATGTCTATCAAAGAATGGCTGCATAAATTGTGGAATATGGATGTGATTGCTTACTATTGCTGTTGGGAAAATAATTTTAGAGACACAGAAAGACTTGTATGAACTAATGCAGAATGAAGTAAGAATCAGATGAACAATTTATGCTATAGTATCAATACCATAAAAATGAACAATTTTGAAAGACTAAGAACTCTGATCAACTGCATGATCAACCATGATTCCAGAAGTCTGAAAAAGAACACTACCCACTGGGCAGCCAGGTGGCACGGTGGATAGAGCTCTGGCCTTGGAATCAGGAGGACTTGAGTTCAAATGTGGCCTCAGATACTTGACACTTACTAGCTGTGTGACCCTGGGCAAGTCACTTAACCCCAGTTGCCTCACCAAAAACAAAACAAAACAAAAAAAACACTACCTAGCTCATGACAAAGAGATAATAAATTAATTTGCAGAATAAGCAGTTTATTTTTTAATGAGACTAACATTGGAAGATGTTTTACTTGACTATGTTTATGTAATATGGGAGTTCTTTCTTCCTCTCTTTATCCTTCCTTATCTTTCTCCCCCCCTCTCTTTCTTCCTTCTTTCCTCCCTCCCTCCCCCTTTTTCTCTCCCTATCTTTTTTCTTCTTTCTTTCTTTTCTCATTCCTTCCCTCTTCCCTTCCCCTCCTTCTTTCTATTTGTTTCTCTCTCCATCTATTTCTCTCACTTCCTCTTTCCCTCTCTTTTTCTCTCCCTCTCTTTTTTCTTCTTTCTGGTGGGGAAAGGTGAAAGGGAAAACATGAATGCTTGATGACTGAAAAATAAAATAAAATGATCCACTGCTGTTAGTTTTACCTTTACTTTTATGTTTGCAGCAAGCCAAGAGCATAACATTGGTCTCTGATCTACAAAGACAGTGTCCACTATGTACTCATTACTCATTCTTAGCAAAGGGCTCTCACTATCATGAATGGAACTCCTATACAGAGAAATCACAATAGACCCTGGTAGTGAAGACAAAGAAACACACAGGGTAGATCTAAAAGGTTTTCACCAAAGCTTTACTTTAAAGAGCTGGCTTTTTGGCTGTACCTTAAACAAATGTACCATTTCTACTACCCTTGGTATTTAGTTGGAAAAACTACTCAAAAGGCTAAAAATTCTCTTTGTGGAGCTTCTAGCTGCCTATATTTTTTTAACTCTCCACTAATACAACAGCTCAGGGCTCATTTCCATATTAACATTTCTTTGTCCAGTGATTCCATTTGAAAAGATTGATGAGTTTTTTCCTGACTCAGCATTCATCCTTGACTTTCTCCTGAACTGGGACTGCCCTGAGATGTTTGATGTAGTCAGTCTAATACAGTCTCACTAAGGAAAATATAATAGTAACAGCAGTATCTGAAATGTTTTGTGAACTTGTGGAATTAGTGTTAACTATAAGGCTATAGATCTAAATTCTAATCCATCTTCAGACGCTTACCAGCTGTTTAGTGCTGGGCAAGTCTCAGCCTCAAGTTTCATCTTCTGTAAAATGGGCCACCTGCTTTGCAGGGTTGTTCTGATCAAATGAGAAAATGTATGTAAAATTCTTTGAAAACTTTAAAAAGCTATATAAATTATTACTATTACTATGAATAGTAATTATTATTATATCTGTAGTACTATGAGAAACCTGGTATAGTGGATACAGGGATGACCTTGGAATCAGTACTGGGTTCCTGCCTTTGATACCAATTAGTTAACGTGATCATGAGCAAGTCATTTTATCTCCCAATGCATTCAGGAAATTCTAATACTCTAAGTTATATTCACTATCCTGATGAAATCACAGGTTCATACCAAAACAAACCCCAAAAAAGTAGTACCATATGTTTTAATACAGAAAATCATACTGCCACCTCTAACTGAAGTAAAAAAAAAAAACAGGAACGTTCTTCACCATCATTGTTTAGATTATTGTGAAAAACAGTAGGGAAATTAAGGATATAGGACTACTGGGTGTAAGATATGGATTCCCCTAAATTTTTATCTAAGGCTTTGGGCAAGTTACTCAATTAATTAGTCAGTCAATAAACATTCATTAAGTGCCTGCTGTGTGTCAGACACTGTGCTAAGCACTAGGGTTGCAAAGACGAAAAATACAGTCTCTATCCTCAGGGAATTTAGACTCTAATGGAGACAATACACAGAGGGAAGCTGAAAGTGGGGGTGGGGGAGGAAGTGGAAGGTACCTGTGAAGGGACATGATGGAGAAGTCTAAAAGATTCCAGCTCGGGGGTGGGGGAAATGAAAAAATGGCTGATCTTGGTGCCCTTTCTATATCTCACAGGACTAATATTACACAGAAAAAAAAAATTCTGAAGATAACCACAATATTTGTGAAGGCATCTTGAACTCTCTAGAAGATAAATGTCATATACATCCAAGGCATCAATGTTATCTCTCTTGACAACATAATGACAAGGTCCCCGTGTAAAATATAGTTTGCAATGTATGTCAAAACAAGGATGAAGTGAATCTCAGGTGCTTCCAGGGTAGAGTCAGTGACCTCTCAAGCTATAACTGAAGATAGGTTTGAGAGCTGGTGTGTAATTTTATTGATCACCCAATCTATCAATCACTTTTTGTGAATTCGTGATGGTAATTAATATCCTAACTGTTCAAATAGAAAATGGAAGCAGTATGTCCTATAACATGCTCTTTCTTACATGAATAATGTGCCATGTTTTGCATTTCATTTTGGATCAGCCTTAGGAATTTAGAATATTAGAAATTTAACTAATCAAACATTTACTAAAGGGAAGGGGAAAGTGAAGGGAAGGGAAGAAACATTTTTTAAGTACCTATTCTTGTTGGCACTTACTATGTGTGAGAACTTGTGCTTGGTACTAGAGAGATGAAGCTAAATCCTATACTCAAAAAGCTTACAATCTAAAGAGGCAAAAGACTTGCGTACAGTAACTAGTGAATAGTTGATATAAGTTAGCTTTCTAATCCAGCAAGCGTGTTGACTACAGTAAACTTGGTTACTGAGTAATGCTTTCTCTCATTCTAGGTTTTATTTAAGATGTTTCTTGGAAGTGCCAACTTTGGTGAAGCGGCCCACTTTTTTTCCACCTTAGGTTTCTTTAATTTAATCTTCATCTCCTTCACACCAATCATCCTATATTTTACCAAAGTGGAGCACTGGTCATCTTTCTCAGCCCTACCATGGGGCTGCCTCTGTGGAATGGCAGGGCTATGGCTCGGTAAGTAGGGAAGGTTTTCAGCATCGCTTAGCGTGCCTCATCATTCAACCTTGAAAAAAGCATCACTTAAAAATGTTAAGATGATAACTTAAATCTGTTCAGTTATTTAAATACTACCACGCTAAAACCATGGAGTTTTAAGGAACTTATTTCAGAGAATTTACAAAGAGAGACTTTAGAGAGAGGTTTTGCTAGCCAATGTTTGGGATACAAAATCTGAGAATTTCTTGGAAAATAAATCCAAGAAATAATTTAATCAACTGTCTAGGTTTCAATTCTGGCTTTCTTAAAGGCAGCATGTATAGTAGAAAAAGGGCTGGAACTCAGAGTCAAGAGAAACCTGGATTCAAATCCCACCTGCCACATTTATTTACTCTGTGAATCATGGTCAGAATACTTAATCTTTTTATCATCCACCCTCATATCACCTTGATTCTCCCCATTTGGACCAGATCTCTAGAAAACAAGCCCTTAAGTGTCTGTGGACAATTAATTCACTCAGCTTTGTACTTCCCTCCTTGAGACTGAGCTGCCCTAATCAGTAAGTCAGTCAACATATATATCTTATGCTTTATTTTGTACAGTGACAAAAGTGAGACAGTCTGAGCCTCCAAAGAATTTACATTCAAATAAAGGTATACACACACACACACACGTGTGTGTGTGTTTACATATACATATGTATACATATGCATATACAATATATAGTTTTATACATAGTTATGTAGAGAAAACTATATATCTATATAAATATATCTATATATGTATTATATATTTATATATGTATATGTAGGTATATATGTATAGATCTAGATCTATGTATAAAACTATATAGTTATATATCTATATCTATATCTATATCTATATATATATATATATATATATATATATATATATATATATATAAAACTCTATACTTATAGGGTTAGATAGATGTATAAGTATATTATTTGTGTGTGTAAGAGGGGTATCTCACATTCCTCGACCCCAATTAATGTAACCATCAAGGCTTCCTACACTCTGATATCTTTATCAGGTAAGAGCTCTTTTGGAGTTACAGAATCAATCAATTACATGTGTAAACCAAGTATGAACAATTCCTGGGCACTTCTTTTGAAAGAATTTATCAAAGGTGTAAACCAAAAACTGAGTGAGGCGACACAGGTAACGCTTGATGCTTGGTTGAAGATAATCAGGTATACCCCTGTAGAGCTCAAATAAAACAGCAAGCCAGTTTGAGACCTGGCATTCTAATAGCAGACCAGCCTGGTCAAGCTCTTGAGAGGGAATCCTTTGGGGGTGTGGAAGGGAAAAACCTCTTGACCAGAATATGACCTTGTGAACTATGAAAGGTCAGAAGATTTGGACTTCACAATGGAGCTGGTAGAAATGCCTTAGGAACAGCAGTGGCCAAGGACAAACTTGATACTCTTCAGTAAGGCAGCTTTAAGATTCTGCAAGGGCACTGACCTTCAGAGCCTAGAAGAAAGCTGTACACAAAAGGAGGACTTCCTGAAAACTTCATGAAGAAAGGAAAAGACGTCCATCCAACTGGGAAATACCCCTTTGCCACATGTATTCTTTAAGCTTGAGCCTGCCTTCCCCCCATGACCTTTTGTGTGCAAGAAGTGAGCAAAATCTTAGACGTTTGGGGAGGGGGAAATTTTGTATCAGTTGTTCTTACTCTACCATCTCCATAAATACTCTTTTCTAAAAACTAATTAAATCTGTCTGGTAAACAATAAAGAACACATCAGATGGATGGATGTATTAAAGGTCCATAAGTGACAGCACAAAAGGTCCCTAATTCCTCAGCATTATTTCTAAGACCCTTAGGAGACAGATAACAAGCTGCCTTACAGTGTGAGTAGCAGTTTGGGACAATGAACTACAGATGTAAGCATATACATATTAATGTCAACAAGCCTGAGATCATTTATTAAGTATATACTATATGTGTAAACATACTCACTATGCTAAGAGCTAGGGAGAAAAAGAAAGACAAAAGCAGTCCCTGCCCTAAAGCCCACAAATCTAATGGGGAAGGCACAATGAAAGCAATCATATACAAATAAGATATATACAAGGTAGTTAGTGGGTAATTACAGAGGGAAGGCATTAATATATACAAAATGAATACAAGCTGGTTATGGGAGAGAAGGTATTAGCATCTGGGGAGTGGGAAGTGGGGTCAGGAAAGACTTCTTATAGAAGGTGAGTCTTGGAAGTGAAGTCATTTGAGCTGAGTCTTGAAAGTAAGCCAGGAATTCCAAGAAATGGAGGTGAGACTGGAGTGCATTCCAGACAAGGAGGACAACTGGTGCAAAGGTCTGTGGCTGCCTTCTTCACATCAAGGACTCTTAATTTTTTCTTCAATCAATTCTCATCTGATATGAACTCAAGACCTTTTGTCATCCTGGGAAACTACTTCTGGATGCTCTCCAGCTTATTGATATCCTTCCCAAATGGTGATATCCATAGCTCAACACACTGTACTCCAGACATGGTCTACTCAAGGCAGAGCAAAGTGGCTTGTACCTTTGTGATCCTGGAGACCATGTCTCTCTTAGTTAATACAACAAAAAAAAAATGCAGTTTGCTTTTTTTGTTTTTGTCATATTGAAGTACTGACTTTTTATCTAGCTGGCTCAAGTTCCTTTTCCTCTCCAGAAAAATTGTTTTCTAACCATGTCTCTCCCATCCTGAACTTGCAAAATGGATTTTTTAAAACCCAATGGAAGACATTATAATTTGTCTTTATTAAATTCATCATATTAGATTCAGCCCAGAGGTCTGGACTGTGGAGATCGTTTTGGGATCCTGATTCAGTTATATCATGTGTTAACTATCCCTTTCAGCATAGGTATTATCTACAAATTTGATGCTATTTATGCTTTCATCCAAGTACTTGATAAAAAATGTTAAACAACATAGGGCCAAGTACAGACCCCTGGAGCAATACACTAGAGACCTTATGCCAAGTTGGCATTAAACCATCAGCAGCTGCTCTTTGAATTCAGACATTCAACCAGTTGCAAATTCATCTAATTGTATTGTCCTCTAGCTAATATATCTTCATCTTTTTCATAATGTTGTGAGATAATGTTTTTAGTTTTGATAAAAATCTGTGGAGACTATACTTAAAGCATTTTCTGATCTTCCACTTTAGTTAAACCATGTGGGAAAAATAATATAAGATTAGTTTGGAGGACCTTTTCTTGAGGAAGCCAAGTTAGCTCTTTGTAATAATTTCTTCCTTTTCTCAATGTTACTTTTCCCATTCTTTATGAACTTTCTAATATCATTGACAGTAGCTCAGTTTTCAAATCTGCCAGTTCTTCCAATAACCAAGAATGTGGTTTATTTGGGCCAGGTGATTTGAATTCATCAAGGGCAGCAAGGCATTGCCTTACTACCATCAACCCCCTTGTTATGCACAATTTTTATGTCACTTTCTGCTATAAAAATTATTCTCTTTAGCAAAGAAAACATAGCAACCCTCCCTTCTCCTTGTCAGTTATTACTGCTCCATCTACTCCAAAGAAATGATCCCACACCTTCTTTTATATTCACTTTTTCTTAACTAAAAAAATATGAAATACTACCTTAGCTTCCCCCCTCAATCTCAGCTCTCTCTGAGCGTTAGCACCATTGACAGTATTTTATAGAATTGTGCAACACTCCCATTCATTTTCTGTTTCCTGCTGAGATTCCATCTTCTATATGTAAGTTAAAAATAAAATGAAAAATAAATAAAAATCCAAGTTGGTTAATGCATCAATGTCCTCAGACAATTTCTGTATCTTCAGAATTGCATTCTCTAAAATTCTCCGAATCTCCTGGACTAATTTGCCCTGTGAAAACAGCAAAGCAAAACAAAACAAAACCCTAATGTCTATAGAGTGCTTTAAAGTTTGCAAAGAACTTTACATACATTATCTCATTTTATTCTTGCAAAATCCCTGAGAAGAAAGTGTATTACAGATGAGGAAATTCAGAATGACACTCTAAGTGGCTTGATTTTTAAGTAAATTCAGGAACCAGAGGAGAGAAACAAAGTAGAGACCATTTGGGTGAAGGACAATGGGACAAGAAAGAGAAACAATTTTGTCATTGGAATGTTTGCTATCCTTCTGTAGTGTATATATAGACCATTTAGACAGAGAGAGGAAATAGATGAGTTCAGGTAATTGATGATAAGCCTGGCGCAGAGGTATGACATTGAAATAATGAATGGCTTCTATTTTCCAGAAAACTCCTGAAGGTCTATCAAAAACAAGGCAGATAATAACAACTTGACTTACTTTAATAATAATTCCATCCTTCAAAAGTTGGAAGAACCAAAGCAGGAAAATTCCATTCTGGATATGTTTCTCATTAAGAGAAAGAAAGTGGTTGATAAGGTGGATAAGATGAGAACTTTGGGGGAAATTGAGCTCCTAGGCAGAGGAAAGGAAAGATTAACATTGTCTGGCATGCTTATTTTATGTTTAGGACCTTTAGTTCTTCTTTTCACCCAAAGTATTGCATCTTTGAATAAATATTTAAGGCCACTAGTTTTTATTATTTTTTCCTTTCTTAGGTTTTCTTTCTTCATTGTAGGTACTCTCTGTGATGCCTAGCTTGGTAGGCATATGTAAGCAGTTTTCTCTCTTTTCTACTATTTTTAAGTCTTTCTTAATAGATTTATGACACTCTTGTTAGATACAATCTCTGACTAGTACTTTGTTTTTTCCTGCATCTTAAGTCATCATCCAGAAATCCAAACTCCATCCTGAGATACTGTATTTTCATCTAGCTAATTCTCCTCTTTTGCACCTCTGCTTTCAATGAGCAACAGTGAGGAAAATCGTACCTATTCCCCTATGGTCTAATAGTTTCTTGCCCAATACTTAATAATCTTATGCAGTACTTTCTAGGTTACTTTTGGCACTATTTCACCAGTTCACACATGAATCACTAGAGGTAGGTAATAGTAATCTGTTTGCAGAAGTCTTAGG